GGTTGAGCTATAGGCGTCGAGCCTGGGATGGGGATTTAGAGCTACTTGAGGGCCTGGACTATAAAGGCAGGAAGAGCAGTCCAGTGGGCCAGGAGAGGGACTGGGGAACACTAGGGCAGATACAGGAGGGGGTGAAGGCAATAGGGAAGAGACCTTCTACTCCAGTCTGGAGGCAGGATGAGTGGAGGAGCCACACGCTCAGGCTCCCTCTGGGAACGGTGAGTTCATGTTGGATTATAAGGTCAAGTGAATTTTCAGTGAGTGTTGCTGTTCCTGATTATTAATTGCTTTGATTTTGGTGTCTTGTGCCCTCGCCTTCCCTTCCCTCCCTCCCCCACCAAACCAGAGCCTCATGTCTTATATTGGCAAGTGTGATGAGGGGCATTTTAGTAGCTATTCTGGCCCATTTTCTCTTTATATTTCTCACACAGACTGTAAGAAGTGAAAAGCATTCATGTATATTTGTTTTGCTCTTTTTAGGAATTTGTCGGTACTCCCAGAATCAACTTTGCTCAGATTAGACCAGGAAGAGAAAAACTGTGATATAGACACCCCATTAGGGAATCTTTCTAAATTGATGGAAAACACAAATGTCAGGTTTGTAACCGTGAATGAATCTGAATTTCTCCCCACTTTTCTATAGAATGTTACTAAAAGTATTTTTTTTCTTTTCAGCAAAAAGCTTCGAGATTTAATTATTGACTTGCAGGAACCACAGTTTATACCCTATCTCAGTTCTGTTCTTCCACATAACGCAAAGGATACTGTTGCCTGTATTCTAAAGGGTATGCTATAGTCAGCATCTCCACTCTAATTAATTTTTCTTGGTTCTGTTTAATTTAAACTATGTTATTGTCCATTTTTATACATTTATGTATATTTTTATTTTACAAAATAAATAAATTTTATTTATTAAGTAAAATTTATTATTTTTTTTGAATTAGAGTCTTACTTTGTTGTCCTCAGCAGAGTGCTGTAGTGTCACAACTCACAGCAAACTCACTCTTGGGCTCAAGCGATTCTCTTGCCTCAGCCTCCTGAGTAGCTGTGACTACAGGTGCCCACCACAATGTTTAGATATGAGTGCTCGCTTCTGGTTTGATCTTGAACCCAGGAGCTCAGGCAATCTACCTGCCTCAGCCTCCCAGAGTATAGTCTATATCTGAATATTGATTAGACTTTGCAATTACAATGTTCTGACCAGGACTCTTTGGAAGTATAATAGTATATATATTATTTAATGTCATTGTGACTTTTTTTTTTTGAAACAGAGCATCAAGCTGTTGCCCTGGGTAGAGTGCCGTGGCATCACAATTCACAGCAACCTCCAACTCCTAGGCTCAAGCAAGTCTCCTGCCTTTGCCTCCCAAGTAGCTGGGACTTCAGGCACCTGCCACAATGCTCAGCTATTTTTTGGTTGCGGCCATCATTGTTGTTTGGTGGGCCCAGGCTGGATTCGAACCCACCAGCTCAGGTGTACATGGCTGGTGTCTTAGCCGCTTAAGCCACAGGCATCAAGCTGTGACTTTTTTTTTTTTTTTACTTTGAAAAGATGTAAGGCCAGGAGCAGAGGCTTATGGCTATAATGCTAGTGCTCTCAGAGGCTGAGACGGACTGAGATAGGCAGATTGCTTGAGCTCAGGAGTTTGAGACCAGCCTGAGCAAGAGTGAGACCTGTCTCTACTAAAAATAAAAAAAGTAGCCAGGGGCAGCACCTATGGCTCAAAGGAGTAGGGTGCCGGCCCCATATACTGGAGGTGGCAAGTTTAAACCTGGCCCGGGCAAAAAAAAAAAAAATTAGGGATGATGAGCATTTCTGGGCAGCGCTTGTGGCTCAAAGGAGCAGGGGGCTGGCCCCATATTCAGGAGGTGGTGGGTTTAAACCCAGCCGTGGCCAAAAACTGCAGAAAAAAGAAAAAGAAAAAGTAGCCAGGCATCCTGGCCAGCACCTGTAGTCTCAGCTATTCAGGAGGCTGAGGCAAGAAGATCGCTGGAGGCCAAGAGTTTGAGGTTGCTGTGAGCTATGACAGAACAGCGCTCTATCAAGGTGTAGAGGGTGGCAAAAAAAAAAAAAGTTAATTTGCTCATTGAAATTCTTTTTCCAATTATTTTTAATTTAAATGTAGGTTTGAATAAGCCTCAGAGACAAGCAATGAAAAAGGTACTTCTTTCAAAAGACTACACACTCATCGTTGGCATGCCTGGAACGGGAAAAACAACTACAATATGTACTCTCGTAAGGTTATTATTCTTTTGCTTAGAAACTAAATATTTACATAAGCTTCTCTGAAATATATAAATCAATCCAGAGGATGTGATATGTGGTATCAAAGGGGCTGGATTTTAATTGAAAATGTCTTTATTTCAGAGTAACCTTTTAGAATGATGTGAAAATTCCAAACTGAATCATAGGGCAGCACCTGTGGCTCAGTGGGTAGGGACGCTGCCCCATATACTGAGGTTGGTGGGTTCAAACCTGGGCCCAGCCAAACTGCAGCAAAAAAATAGCTAGGCATTGTGGTGGCTGCCTGTAGTCCCAGCTACTTGGGAGGCTGAGGCAAGAGAATCACCTAAGCCTAAGAGCTGGAGGTTGCTATGAGCTGTGACGCCATAGCACTCTACTGAGGGCGACAAAGTAAGACTCTGTCTCTAAAAAAAAGAAAAAACTGAATCATAAATAGTTGTCATGTTTTAGATTTCTTTTTTTTTTTGAGACAGAGCCTCAAGCTATCCCCCTGGGTAGAGTACTGTGGCATTACAGCTCACAGCAACCTCCAACTCCTAGGCTCAAGCGAGTCTCCTGCCTCTGCCTCACAAGTAGCTGGGACCACAGGCGCCCGCCACAATGCCAGGCTATTTTTTTGGGTTGCAGCCATCATTATTGTTTGGCAGGCCGGACTGGATTTGAACCCGCCACCTTAGGTGTATGTGGCTGGCGCCTTAGCCAGTTGAGCCACAGGTGCCGAGCTTAGATTTCTTACATTCAGATTTTTTAAGGTTTTTTTCTGTAAATGATGTGTGATGTATATATCACTATGTGTTTACTTTTCCCTTTAAAAATGATAAATTACTCAGAGATGGTTTCAATAGATTTTTTCTTGTTTTTTTTTTCATGTGAGTAAATTTCTAAACAGTCTTAGAATAATCATAACGATGATGATGGCAGCAAATACTTAATGATAGTGTGTACCAGACATTATTAGAAGTTTACATGCATTCAATTTTATTATCAACTAATCATCTTTAATAATATAATACCATCTAATTTTTGTAAAATGTTTTGGCTTTATAATTTTAAAAAATGTTGCTGGCTCAGCTCTTTAGTGTGCTTCCTAATGTTTGGAAAATGTGAGCGTGTTAAAAATTACCTGGAATTAAAAGTAATCCTATTTTTCTTTATCTTTCCCATTATTAGGTAAGAATCCTTTATGCCTGTGGTTTTAGTGTTTTATTGACGAGCTATACACACTCGGCGGTTGACAATATTCTGTTGAAGTTAGCTAAGTTTAAAATAGGATTTTTGCGTTTGGGTCAGACTCATAAGGTTCATCCAGATATCCAGAAATTTACAGAGGAAGAAATTTGCAGATCAAAGTCCATTAAATCCTTAGCTCTTCTAGAAGAACTATATAATAGTCAAGTAAGTACAATTATTATATAATAATATGTATAATAATTTTGTAGCCAAAATAAGAGGAGAAACGACACTCTAGGAAATTTATTCACATTGACTAGATTGCCCCTGGTTAATTTATATTTATAATAGAACCAGTTCATTAAGTTATAGTTTGCTGTTTACTTCTGAACTAGAATGAGATTTTTGGTTTATTATTCCTTCTTGTAGCGTGAGATGTCCTAGAAAATTACTAATAATCAGGATATTTTAGTGAATTTGAATCAGAAGCAACAATCCTTAACAGTCTTAAAAAAAATAAAAAGCAGTCTTATGATAAGTATTTCTAGGCTTTTATATGGAATCTAATTCTTATTTTTGTTTAATGTCTATTTTTACTGTAAATCTTAACTGATTGTTTTTCTGGGGTTTTTTGAGATGGAGCCTCAAGCTGTCACCCTAGGTAGAGTGCTGTGATATAACAGCTCATGGCAACCTCAAACTCCTGGGCTCAAGCGATTCTCCTGCCTCCACCTCCCAAGTAGCTGGGACTACAGGTGCCCTCCACAACGCCTGGCTATTTTTTCGTTGCAGCCATCGTTGTTTGGAGGGCCCAGGCTGGATTTGAACCTGCCAGCTCAGGTGTATGTGGCTGGCGCCTTAGCCTCTTGAGCCACAGGCGCCAAGCTTTAACTGATTGTTTTTAAGATACAACGTTATGTTGTCTCTATGTTTCCTAGGCTGGCCTTGAACCCCCATGTTCAAATGTTTCTCCTGCCTCAATTTCCCAAGTAGCTAGGACTGCAGGCATGTGCCATAGTGCACAGCTAACTTAACTGATACGTCTGTCTTTAAAAATGTACTTAAGTTAGATTTAATAGGCTGTTCTTTAAATTCTTTATCTAATAATATGTTTTTGTCTAATGTCTGTACCAATTGTTGATAAATTTTGAAGTGCTTCGGTAAAATGTGTTTCTGGTCAACTTTTTGTTTATTTTTTTTACGGTATCCAAGTTTTCTTGTAAAGTCTCATTGACTTTTTAATTAAACTTTTTATTTCGAGACAATTATAGATCACATGCAGTTGTAAGAAATAATAGCAAGTTTCCATGTATCTTTATCCAGTAACATCTTGTAAGTGTGTGGTACAAAACCACAACCACGATAATGACATTGAAACAGTCAGTGTTCTATTACTACCATATCCTTCAGGTTGCACTTTTATAGTTGTACCCACTTCTCCTTCCCTGCTCACTCCTTAATGGCTGGCAACTGCTAATTTGTTTTCTTTTTTTTTTTTTTTTTTTGAGACAGAGCCTCACGCTGTCCCCTTGGGTAGAGTGCCGTGGCATTACAGCTCAAAGCAACCTCCAACTCCTGGGCTCAAGCGAGTCTCCTGCCTCCGCCTCCCAAGTAGCTGGGACCACAGGTGCCCACCACCACGCCCGGCTATTTTTTGGTTGCAGCTGTCATTGTTGTTTTGGCGGGTCCGGGCTGGGGATTCGAACCTGCCACCTTAGGTGTACATGGCTGGTGCCTTAGCCGGTTGAGCTATAGGTGCTGAGCCGCTAATTTGTTTTCTAAATGTTATATAAATGTAGTCATACAGAATGTAACCTATTGGAGATTCACCCAGATTGTTGTATGTATTAATTGTTTGTTCTTTATTCTTCTTTACTTATTTTTGTTTCCCATGTTAAACCAATGTTTTGGGGTTTTTTGGCCAGGGCTGGGTTTGGACCTGCCACCTCCAGCATATGGGGCCAGCGCCCTACTCCTTTGAGCCACAGGCGCTGCCCACCAATGTTCCTTTTTATTGCTGAGTATTGTTCCATGCTATGTACTACAGTGTGTTTAGCCATTCATTTATCCATTAAAAATCTGGGTTGTTGGCTCGGCTCCTGTGGCTCAAGAGGCTAAGGCGCCAGCCACATACACCTGAGCTGGTGGGTTCGAGTCCAGCCCAGGCCCACCAAACAACAATGACAGCTACAACCAAAAAAAATGGCGGGGCGCTATGACAGGCGCCTGTAGTCCCAGCTACTTGGGAGGCAGAGGCAGAGGCAGAGGAATCGCTTGAGCCCAGGAGTTGGAGGTTGCTGTGAGCTGTGATGCTACAGTACTCTACCCAGGGTGACAGTTTGAGGCTCTGTCTCAAAACAAAAAGTCTGGGTTGTTTCTAGTATTCATTCATTCATTCCCTCCCTCTATTCATCTCTTCCTCCCAGGAGGCTAAGATAGTAAGTTCACTTAAACCCAGGATTTTGAGTATTACAGCCTGGGCAACTCTAGTAAGACCCTCATCTCTGAGAAGAAAAAAATAGCTATGTACATTAATGCAATCATGGGGTACAATGTGCTGGTTTTATATACAATTTGAAATATTTTCATCAAACTGGTTAACATAGCCTTCACAGCATTTTCTTAGTTATTGTGTTAAGACATTTATATTTTACATTTAGTAAATTTTACATGTACCCTTGTAAGATGCACCATAGGTGTACATTAATGTACACAGCTATGATTTAATAAAAAAAAGAAGAAAAATAATAATAAATCCACTGAATGTATTTATGCAGGGCCAAAATGCTTAACAAAATGCTAGCAAACTAAATTCAGCAACATATTAAAAGAATTATACACCATGTCCATTTCAAAAATTAAAAGATAAAAAAAATTGGCTCATTGCCTTTACCTCAGTGGCTAGAGTGTCAGCCACATACATTTGAATTGGCGGGTTTGAATTCAGCCTGAATTCTACTGAACAACAATGACAGCTGCAACCAAAAAATAAAAAAATAGCTCGGCATTGTGGCAGG